ATGGATCAGACCTTGTTAACTTTGCATTTGACATGAGTGCCATGTTGAAAAAAATGCAGAAGCATAAACCCTCCAGATGATAAAGAATGCCATCAACTCTCTTTCCCCAAATAGCTCGATGGCATCTCCTTCCAGGCATGATGATGAATCAGTAGCTGCCACAACTGTTTCAGTGAAGAGTTCCAGTATTTGAGTGCTATCCAATGAGACATGGAAGCAAGCAGGCAAAAGGGAAGTGACAGGTCCATACACAGGTCTTCACACTCTTCTTGGGGAAGGAGTGTCCACTTTTCTCCCTGCAAAGTTACTGGGTTTCATTTATACTCATTCTTTGTATTATTTTGTTCTTATTCTAACCAATTGCAGCCGCTTTGTTATACATATCACTATATAAATATTGGGTGTATATACATGTTTGCTATCTTATATGGATGTGTTACAGTTGGTATACAAGTAACAAATCCATATCCTCGGCAATGTATTTGTAATCTAGATGATGTATTCTAAAAATTTCTCTTCTTAAACTACTTAATAGATATTTAAATATTTTAAGGAAAGGGCAACAAGAGTTAATTTTCACAGCAAAAGTTAAAAATTAGATGGATTTTTTTATTTCTATATATTAACAATAGAAAGTAGAAAATAGTGCTTTTAAGAATTTATTACTGCAGTGGTCCAAAGAGCCATCTGTTATGTACCTGAGAAATAAATATAAAACTTTGTATTGATGATGTTTTACTATAAATATAAAATGTAACTAAATAACAAATTACAGTAGTTACAAATTAATTACAAAGCAATTACAAATTAAATAATTATATATCAATTAAACTAATCCTTCTGCTGTGCTTTCCATATGAAATATTGAAAACATGGGTTAATTATGCCAAATTTTGAAAAATAGCTTCTATTTTTGTGCAAGGAAAATCCTCTCAACTCTCCTTGTACTCAATGGGTGGTGAGGGCACTTTGTGGTACACAGGACAGAGACCCAACAAATGCACTTGGTTACAAAAAGCAGACAGACATTCTCAGCTGATGCAACTATATCTTTTGTTCGCTATGGAAGAAAGGTGAAACTTTGTATTTAACATGAACAAAATAGAGAGGATAATAGCTAAGTTGGTTTATGACAAAACATCTATGCAAACTCACTCCTGACAATGCACGCTTCATATCTATGGACACAGTTAAGGGCAAGCAAAGAACTAGTGTTCCAGAAAATGATGTACCCTTTCATTCTTAATAACCAAATAAAAATGTGTAGTCAGTACTAGGGAGCTGCTCTAGCAAGTATATCTCCAGGAAACAAGGTTCCCCACAGACTTTCCCTTGATCTTAAAGCTTAACGTGAAACATTTATATGCACATAGCACCTAGCCAGAAGATGTGGGAAGGCAGTATTACATTGGCTGTATTTCTTTCTTAAATAATATATTTCTGCTCTCCCACTACTCCTGGAAATGATTTTTGCACTCAACTTTTTTTGTTCTTTTTTAATTGTCTTGCTCTTCTTAAACTATCTTGAATACCCCTATTAACACCCATCAAACCTTCGTGTGCTGAATGGGGTTCCAATTTTTGAAAGCTGAAATATGTAGTCAGAGTAGATTAATCTGACTCAGTTCATGAACCTCTTTTTACAAATTGTTTGGGTTACTTGAATACTAATTTGCCACACACATCTAACACTTTAACCATGTATATAAATGACACAGACTAACCTGCTATAACTCTAACTATACAGTGCACCATATCAGTTGCATTATGGATAATAGGTTCTCAAAGACTTTCTGTTGAACTGAGGAAAAATATTCTGTGAACCTTAAATCACTACTGCAAACTGTTACCAATTCTATAGTAAATTCACTGCTGTCTTATATGGAAGTGCATAAATCATCTGTATACAGTTATACAAATCTATAGCTATAATATCTATAGCTGAATGTATTTTAAAATTGACTTGTCTGTGCATACATCCTAGGGAAGTGAATGTTGTCAATTTACATAAATAAATCTCTACATTGAAATAGCAGCACATACCAAATTTTATGTATACAGAATTGATAAATTGTCCAGTCCAAAGGCAAAACTCCCTTTCGTTGAAATAGCAACTCAGTTGAGTCCAATATCTATTATTCCATATTTACATAATTGGTGCCATAAATGTAAACTCAGTGGAAATCTGTATGTAGAGAATTAATTTTTCACTTGTAATAGCTTGTTTTTTAATGTTTGTTTTACACATAGGCCTGGATACTTATTCTTCACTAAAATCAGCATTTGGAAAGATTCCAGCTTGGAATCTTTTTTGTGCATATAAACCAGTCTTCGTATCTTTTTAAAGTAAAAAAGTTAATTATTTTAATTCTCTTATAACTCAAAAGTGGGTGAACAGATTTTGCTTACTAATTCCCTGACCCTCCAAGTCCCATCCCACAACAATGATTTAAATGAAGAAAAACAAACATTACTTGAGTTAAGTACCCAAGCAAAGTTAAGTACCAGGTAAACCTTCTAGTGTAATATATATGTTGGTGGGCATTGTGAAAGATAGT